AAAAACAAAAACAAAAACAAAAAAAAAACCTTCATAAAAGCCTACTGTTTTGGCAAAGAGCCTCTGAAACAATCCAGAGGAGGATCAGAAAGAGAGAGAGAGAGTGTGTGTGTGTGTGTGAGAGAGAGCGAGAGAGAGAGAGAGAGAGAGAAAGAAAGAGAGAAAGAGAAAGAACGAGATACAACATGGTGGGCACGCATGTCCATGATTCCACGCACCAGCCCCCACGAACTACGAGTAAGAGAGAGCATGAAAGAGAGAGGGAGAGGGAGAGAGCAAGAGAGAGAGAGAGAGAGAGAGAGGGAGAGAGAGAGAGAGAGAGAGAGAGGGAGGGAGAGAGATGGAGAGAGAGAGAGAGAAAGAGAGAGAGAGAACAAGAGTGAATAAGAGAAACACAATGGACAAGTGTGTCCATGGCCATAGGCATCATCTCCCATGCACTAAGGGCAGGCACAACCACATCCTACCGAGTGCACGATGGGCAAAAAAAAAAAAAAAAAAAAAAGCGGAGGAAACGAGGAGAAGAAGAAGCGTCGTTTCGCGCCCGACACATTCGTGACATTTCCGTCGGTTTTTATTTTCTTCACACATTTGATCAAGGGCTGCCCGTACATGTACATGCACACGCATGCTTTAACATGGAATACTCAACCCGTATACCACTTGGCCTCCCATGCACAGGAGCACGACGGTGCGAGGCGGCAGGCTACGATGACCCGTACGAATTTGCCGTTACAGACAGATCCATTACACAGATGCGCGGTCGTCTTCGCGCGACCTTTGCGTGGTGGAGCTCATGGTGCCCCAGCAGCCTCGTTCTCTCCGTCATCGCCAAGGGTTACTGGTTGCCATGGAGCCACGGCCCACCACAACCTTTCCACAATCGCAATCATGTCGGGGCGAACACGCATGCCACGTTCACACGTACCGCCATCCAAGAACTCATAGAGACGGGAGCGGCAGTTCCGATGGCCGCAACGGAACTCAAGTGCATAAGTCCACTTAACGTGGTCGAGCAAAAAGACAAATGCAGGCTCATTCTTGATCTGAGAAAGGTCAACGCCAACTTGATTGTCCCCAATTTCAAGTACGAGGGGCTCAGCCGTGTCGCCGACCTGGCGCGCGTTGGGGACTGGATGTTCTCCATTGACCTCAAAGCTGGTTACCATCACATCGACATCCACCCATCGTGCTGGAAGTTCCTTGGCTTCGAATTCGATAGGCGCACATGCGCCTTTCGTTCACTACCATTCGGCCTCGCGACGGCTCCATTCGTCTTTACACAGCTCATCAAGCAACTAGCTCGGCGTTGGCGAGAACAAGGCATCCGAGTCGTACCTTACGTGGATGACATCTTATTTCTCTGCCGGTCGAAAGCCGACGCGCAAGCAATCTGCCAGCAGGTGATATTGGACCTCAAAGAGGCAGGCCTTGTGATAAACGCGAAGAAATCACAACTGTCACCATCGCAGCATCTCCGATTCCTGGGCGTAGAACTGGAGACCGACACCGGCCGATTCTCCATCGGTCCCGACCGACGAGCCTCACTACATGCAACCATCCAGAACCTCCTGAGCGCAAGCAGGGCATGCCGACCAATCCCGGTCCGCCACATGGCCAGAATCACTGGGATGCTTGCATCGATGGGTGTCGCACTTGGCGCGACCGCTCGCGCATTCAGCCACGCTATGTTGCAAGTGATCAACGAAGCACCGTCTTGGAAAAGCAGCGTGGTTATCCCCCCATCTGCAGCAGAGGAGCTCCAATTTTGGCTCGAGGAGTTTGACCGTTTCAACGGTGCACCTTTTCACGTCAGGAACAGCTACGATGCAGTAATCCATGTGGATGCCAGCTCTCATGGTTGGGGCGCCACTCTGACCACATTTCCGGGCGGCCTCGAAGAAGCCAGCGCAACCATGTCAGAGCCTCTACGAGGAACGTCCAGCACGCGACGGGAGATTGAAGGCGTCCTTTGGGCGCTCCAAACATACGCGACCAAGATCAAGCAAAAACACGTTCTCGTGTGGGTGGACAACCAGGGCGTGTTCTTCATCCTTCGAAAAGGCGGCTCTCACAGCCCCGACCTCGCAACGGCATGCAAGAGCATCATCCGAACATGCATGGAGCTTGGGACGCGCTTGATCATCGAATGGATTCCGCGCGAGCTCAATACACACGCCGACGAACTTTCAAAAATGGTCGACCACGACGATTACGCGCTGAAAACGCCGTGGTTCCGCATCTTGGAACGTTGTTGGGGGCCCCACTCAATCGACCTCTTCGCAAACTCCCGCAACACCCAACTGCCGCGCTTCTGCACAAAGATTCCCCACCCAGAAGCCATCACAGTTGATGCGTTCTCGATCGCGTGGACACCCGAAAACAACTTCGCCTTCCCCCCGCCCCAACTGGTCCCGGCCGTCCTCCATCACGCACAACGCACCCATGCATCGCTCACACTGATAGTTCCGCACTGGCCAGGCGCAAGCTGGTGGCCACTTTTGCAACCCTCCCCATGCACTTGGGCTCCACACATCCACGCGCACATACCTTTGACACACGGAAGCCAATGCCTAGACGCAGGATCCCATTCCAATGCTTTTTCAGGCATGGGACTACCGCACAGCCCAATTATTGCACTGAGAATGGCATTTGACTAATTCAAAACATCAACGCCCTGTGTTCAGATTTGCTCCCAAAGTTACACGACCAAATGATCAACATGCTCGCGCAATCTCGCGCCGATTCTACGATCCGGACATACGAACCATACTGGGCCAAGTTTCGAGCCTTCTGCACAAAAGTGAACCTCCCATTTCTTCCGGCATCCGACATGACCCTCGCGCTCTACCTGGTACACGCAATCGGACGCAAAGCCACCCTGTCCGTAGTGCAGCTGACGTGCTCGGCGGTCAGCTTCGCTCATCGCATGACTGGGAGCAAATGCCCGACAACCGGACCGTTCACCACCCAAGTCCGTGACTGTGCAAAACGACACTGCCCTCGCCCTACTCATATGAAGGAACCTGTATCGATCCAACAAGTCCGGGACATGGCCGCGAGTTACTTGCAGTCCGACGATCCCGCGACGTTTCAGAAAGGGTTGATCCCCATCCTCATGTACTCAGGATTCCTGCGATATTCTGACCTGGCAGCCATAAAATGGCAAGACATCCAATTCGACGACGCGGTCATGTGGATTCTCATACCACACTCCAAGACCGATCAGGCTGGTCATGGCACTTGGATTCCCATTGCAGCAACGACCGACCCTTGTTGCCCAGTGCGCTGCACCCGACGCTTCATCCAACTGGCCGGCTATGGCCCACAGTCAGAGGGACCATTGATTCGGGTCTTCGGCCACGCTTCAACCAGCGAGGGCCAAGCAAGGCCACCCTCATACACCACGATCCGGAACTGGTGCAAGGAAGCCTTCGCAAAGGTGGGCCTTGGAGACCTGCAGCTCGGCACACATTCTTTCCGAAAGGGTGCAGCCACAGTAGCAGCCAACACGGGCGTGCCAGACAGGGTCTTCAAACGGCTGGGCAGATGGCGAAGCGACTCAGCAAAGGAAATGTATGTTACACCATACGTCGAGCCTCTTATCGAAGCCTCCCGTAACCTACAAGACCTGACGCATGCAGCGTCATCGGCACAACACTCAGAGGCACTCGTACGCAACCGGAGGCCCCCGCTACCCATGTCTCAGAGACCCCATTTGTAATGAGAACGATGCCAATTGATAAGAATAAGAAAGCAAGCTTTCTCAATATGATAATTTTTAAACACACATTGTGTTTTTTAAAATTGTGTATTGTGAAAGCGAAGCTGCTTGTACTGCACAATTGGCATCGTCGAAGCGCGCTAAACGCCCTTCTCCAACTACAAAAACCGTGGGTTGGAGTTCATTTCCCTCCACCCACGTTTCTCGATTTTCCAACGGCTCACTCAACACTCCCACCACCCACCCCAGAGCAAACCGCCTTGCTAATGCCACTTGGATAGGGTACATCTTAGCTAGTGTTACTCGATCGCACTAGCTTGTGTTCAACGTTGATGCAAATGTTGTAATAAGCCATTTGTAATGAGAACGATGCCAATTGATAAGAATAAGAAAGCAAGCTTTCTCAATTTGTGTATTGTGAAAGCGAAGCTGCTTGTACTGCACAATTGGCATCGTCGAAGCGCGCTAAACGCCCTTCTCCAACTACAAAAACCATGGGTTGGAGTTCATTTCCCTCAACCCACGTTTCTCGATTTTCAAACGGCTCACTCAACATTGCCACCCCACCACCCACCCCTGAGTAAACCGCCTTGCTAATGCCACTTGGATAGGGTACATCTTAGCTAGTGTTATTCGATTGCACTAGCTTGTGTTCAACGTTGATGCAAATGTTGTAATAAGCCATTTGTAATGAGAACGAAGCCAATTGATAAGAATAAGAAAGCAAGCTTTCTCAATACATTAACCTAGCCATAAACATTTGAGTGAGTCAGGTGAGAGGGTGTAAGGATTTACAAATCCTTACTGAGGCACTCGTTAGCGAGGTCATCCCGAGGGTCACGTGACGAACCTGTCTTGCCTATTTCGTTGCACCGAACCACCCCCGAGTCGGCCTCCGCTCCAATCACAACCATCACCGAGCCATCCCATCCCGAACCCCCCGCCTAGCTAGCTTTTCCCCTATTTAGGCCTCCCTACTTCATTGTTTCTTCATTCAGTAATTCAGTAATTTCCTTTCTCGTTATTCATTTTACTGCGCACTCTGCAAGTTGATTCATAGCAGAGGGGTTGGGTTTGAACTGGTTGCTCTGTCCGAAGTTTAAAGACCCTGTAATTTGGTTACCACCATGTACCTTTTATTAGGAGATTATGAGTTAAAACCTTGGCAAGCTACCATCCACTCAGCAACCACCCCAAAGCTTTTTAAGGTTTCCATAGTAGCAACCTGTTCACACCACACAACTCCATAACACTATTTCCATCACACACACCTCCATCACACCATTTCCATCACACACACCATCACACCAATTCCAGCCTGGTTCAGTGGCATTCTGCATTCTGCAACAGCCCATGGAGTGGAGTGCCCATCGCTTCAGGCTCAAACTGACTAGTTCAAACTTTACTGGGTCATTTTCAAGATTAACCATAATCAACAAACGCTCTGCAACAATCCTTTCCTGGAAATTCGTGGCGCTTCCTCCTCCTTACTCCAATCCCTCGTGTGCCTGTCTTCAATCCACCTGCCATCAAATCATTCCCAACCCCCACCCCTCACACGTTTCTTCCTTCATCTACCTCCTCTCTTGAATCTTGGGCCATCTCAAAGACCTCCCCCACTCTCACTCCACCCCTCCCATTCCCTGCCACAACCCTCCCATCTTTTCCAGTCCTTTATCTCAATCCCATACCTTAATAAAAACATCTGCTTGCTCCTCTTCCGTTCCTCCTCCTCCTCTTACTGCTCCTCACCACCTGTGCTTTTCTTCTGCTTCTTTCTCTTCTTCCCCTCCTCCTCCTGACCCCCCCCTTTCTTCTCCTTCTTCAGCTTCTGTTTCCCTTTCACTTGCTCCTCCGCCTGCTCACTCTGCTTCTCCTTCTCCTCCTCCCTCTCCTCCTTCACCTCCTTCCCATCTGCTTCCCCAACCTGCTTCCGCTTACCCTTCCCTCCCTTCCCCCTCTTCCCACCCTTTCCCCCTCGCTTCTCTCCATCCCCATCCATATCCTCTCCATCCTCCGCTACCTCCTCCACACCCTCCTCCTCAACCCCAGTCCCCTTCCCTCCCTTCACACGCCCCAAAACCACATTCACTCCCTCTCGCAAACTCCCCGCCCTCCCCTCCCTCACAGCCTCTACAGCTGCCACCAGCCGCTGCAACTGTGCAATCACCTGCCCAGTCCTCCCCTTCCCTTTTACCCGCTGCACCGACGCAGGTTCGGCCGAAGCTGCCTTCAGCCCCTCAACATCCAAGGCCTGGAGGAGCTTCGGAGGAGCACCCGAGCCTTCACTCCCAACCCTCTCGCTGCCGTTTGGAACCTTCTTAGAAGATTCTTCGTCCGCCTTGAGAGCAGCTGCTGCTAGGAACTCGTCTGCATGGCCTACAGACCGCAGCAGAGCACAGCAGAAATCAAGTCCCAACTCCCACCGCTCTAACTTCCCATACTCATGCTTTAGGGTTTCGATCAGCAGTTTCCCCACCACCCCCTTTTCTACCTGCCCGGATAGCACCTCCGCGGCCCCCTCGGGCAGCGGAAAACGGTTCAGGAACGGCGTGACGAGTTTTATCGCAGCTGCCCGGACGAACTCCGACCTGCCCGAGCCACACTTTCTGAAAAAGTACGGAATGAGAGCGGAAAACATTCCGGGAAAGCGAGCGAGAGTGTCGCGGATAAAGGTCAGAGGGAGAGGGCAATCCCGAGAATCAAGGATTCGGGAAATGGCCGAAGAAAAGGCGTCTAGCACGGATGAATCGATCAAAGATGCCTTGAACGCATTCCCCTGCTTCCCCTGCTGCTTCTTCCCCCGCTGCTGCTGTTGCTGAGGCTTGGCGTTTTTCTCCTGATCGCGATTAGAAATCGCTTCCTGCTGGGACTTAGCTAAGAGCCGCGCCTGGATGACGTGGCAGAGCCACATGGCACAATCTCCCGCGACGAGCGCCAGGTGCCGGATGGAGGTTCGCCGGGTGGCCTCTGCAAAACACTTCTGCATGGCCGCCCGGGCGGCAAGCAGAATAGCCTCATCCTCTCTCTCCTGCTGCCGCTCCTGCTGCCTTTCGATTGCTATCCTCCTCATCTCCTCCTCCCCCTCCTCTTCCTCCTCTTCCTGACCAGCAGCAGCACCCTTCCCTCCCCCCTTCCCCCCTCCTCCCTTCCCTCCTCCTTTCCCTGCTCCTCCCCCCACAACCACCACAGCACCAACCACCCGCCTCTCCAGCATCCTCTCAACCCTCACCAGCACAGCATCATGCCCGGTGCCCCCCCTCCCCTCGCCGCCTCCCCCGCCCTTCCCGCCCTTCAAGCTGCCCTTCGCCGCATAGTTCCCCGCTGCCGCCTTCAGCAGCCGCGGCACCACCGCAAGCACCAGCGGATCGCACGAAAGAGGCTTCCTGCCTTCTAACGAGTGAGGCTCTTCAAACGAGAGGGAGCGTGCGTGGGAGTAAGCACTGGGAGCGTGTGCGAGCCACGTGTCAAGGAGCGACAAGGCGCGCAGGCGGAAGTGCTCTCCCAGCAAGATGCTCTGCCGGCGTTTGCGGCGAGTCTCTGCCTCCACTTTCTGCCGAACAATGTCGGCCAGGTGCTGGTCGATTTGGAACATGGCCGCATCGTCCATCAACTCCTCATTGTCACTGTCGCTCATGCTGCCGTTGGGGTTACCGATGCTGTTTTCGTTCGCTTCCTTGATAGCTTTTCTTAACGCAGCGTCCTCCTCGTCGTCCTCCTCCTCTTCCTCCTCCTCTTCCTCATCTTCACTGCCTTCTTCACCTTCCGACCCTTCCTCTCCACTCTCCTCCTCTTCCTCTTCCTCCTCCTCCTCCCCTTCCAGCACCTCCTCTCTCTTCTTGCTCCTAGGATTCGTTACAACCACCTCCATTATAGTCTCAAGGGCCTCGGCAGTCAGATCGTTGCAGAAGGCGCTAAAGACACCCTCCGCCGCCCCTCTCAGAAGAGAGGATTCCTGCGCCAGTAAGGACAAAACTACATCCACCAATGACAGCATCACATCCTTTGTCTTTTCCTCCTCCTCCTCTTCCTCCTCCTCCTCCTCCTCCTCCTCCTCCTCCTCCTCCTCCTCCTCCTCCTCCTCCTCCTCTTCCTCCTCACTCTCCTCACTGTCCTCCTCACCATCTACCACCCTCTTTCCTCTCCCCTTCCCTCCCAAACTTCCATTCGCGCCAGCCTTCCCTCCCTTGGGAATCAACCAACCAGAGGCCACCAGCTGGCGCGCAATGGCAGTGACGTCAGCAGCAGCTTCCAGAAGAACATCCACGTCACCACCACCGGCAACAGCACCACCGGCACCAGCAGCACCAGCAGGAGGAGAAGCAGCACCCTCCTCCTCCTCCTCCTCTTCCTCCTTCTCCTCATCCTCATCCCCACTACCTTCACTCTCTTTCGCCTTCTGAACCCCCCCATCCCCACCCGCACCAGCCTCGGCAACAGCCTCGGCGGCAGCTTCGGCAGCAGCTTCGGCGGAGGTTTGGATGCGAATGCAGAGCAGGAGCGTCCCTAGGAGCACGCCAACAGCCTTCCTCCGAGCTTCAAGCAGAGGAGACGCAAAAGCAGGGACTGGCAGGGTCGCTTGGTTGGCACTTTCAGCGCCCTCCTCTTTCACTTGAGTGACAAGCTTGAGTGACTGTTGAGTCGACCCAAAAGCCAGTTCAGCCCGCTCCTCTTTCGCTTGAGCAACGAGCTTGAGTGTTTCTTTCAACCCTCTTGCAACTGCCTCCACATCCTCCCCTTCTTCCTCCTCTTTCTCACTCCCCTCCTCTTTCCCATCAACCTCCATCGTTCCATTCTCGACACCCGCTCTCCTCCTCCCTTCCATCCACCCCTCACCCTCCCATGCTAGCTGCTCGACCACCCACAATCCCGTTCCCTTTATACTCACGCCTTCAGTGCCCTTCCCCTCCTTCCCTTCCTTCCCTCCCTCCCTTTCGCTCCCCTCTCTCCCGGCCCCCAAAGCCCTCTCCACCTCTCTCCCCTCAGGGCTCTTAACGAAATAGTCCAGCTGCTTGAAAAGAGCTTCTAACGAGGATAAGAACCGGGACCGGCAAGCAGCCAGCACACCTGCAGACACGACAGGGGAGAAAGAGAGAGGCCGAGCCTCTGACTCCAGCCCTCGTGACTTTTGAGTCGACTCAAAAGAGAGAGCCCCTGACTCTGACTCTCGCCCCTGCTGCCCCTGCTGCCCCTGCTCGTCCTGCTGCTTCTCGTTCCGCTTTCCCTCTTTGCTCCCTTTCTTCCCTTTCTTTCCCTTCCTCCGAGTTTCCTCCTCCTCCTCTCCTCCTACGACTGTCGCCAACCCCCCACCGTTTTCAGCCTGAATTTCGCCGCCCTTTAATATGACTCTCATAATGAATCCTAGAATCACCTTCCTTAGAGTCACATGCTCCCACACTGCCTTCACTGCCTCGTCTGCTTCCCTCCTCCTCCTCTCCTCCTCTTCTCTCACCTCCACTCCCTCCCTTTCCTTCCCCTCCTCTTCTCCTGCACCATCCGCCGTTTTAGCAGCATCAGCGTTCAAAACACTCTTCTTCTTCAGCTGCTTAAGCGTTTTCCTTAGGCTAAGCGCCGGTTTGGGAACTGGTTTTGATACCAGCCTACACATCTGATCCAGCGCCCAAAACCGCCATTTCTCCGCTTCTGCCTCTCGCTCCCACTCCTTCTCCCCTCCTCCTTTCTCCTCCCCAACCGCACTCCCCCACTTCCCTTCCTTCCCCTTCTTCCCCTCCTTCCCTCCTCTCCCTCCCCTCCCGTCCCCGCCTCTCCCCGTCTCCCTCACCTCTCCCCCTAAACCCACAAACTCCCCGGGGCGGGCAAACACAGACTGCAGAAACCCGTAATACGCCCTCTCCCCCTCAACCCCTGCAATCCCCGCTGCAAGCAAGCGAACAGCATTGCTGCGTGTGACTGTATCGAACTGCCCTTTAGAGTGCTGCTGCAGGGTGGTCAGGATAGCAAGCCTTGCTGCTGCTGATTCCATTTCTGCTGCTGCCGCTGCTGCTGGTGATGCCGCTGATTTTGCTGCCTTGATTTTCCCCCCTTCCGCCTCCTTCCCTTCATTCCCCTGCTTGCCCTCTATTCCCTCTCCCCGCCCTCCCCCGTCCTCCCCCTCCTCCCCCTCCCCTTCCCCTCCTTCCCCCACTTCCCCCAAGGTGGGCCATCGCTGAATCAGCGCGACGCAGCGCTGACTCAGCGGGAACAGGTGCGCCCTGCTCCCCGCCCCCAGCGCGTCCATTAAGCAGCGCGTGATTGGTCGAGAGAGGATGACGTGGGCCGTGGTGGTGGGAGGGAGGCGCGGGATTAGGAGCAGCAAGAGATTAATAGCCAAATACCTCCTTTCGTGAGAGGAAGGGATTAGTCCCCTGTCTACTATTATAGACCAGAAAGTCGAAAGGGCTGAGGAGGGGAGGGGAGAGGAGGAGGAAGAGGAGGGTTTGGAGAAAGCGGGGGAGAGAAATGGGAGGGACGCGAGCAGGGAAGAGGGGGAGGAGGAGGAGGGGGGAGAGAGAGAGGGGAGAGGGAGAGAGGGGAGGGGGAGTGAGAAGAGGCGGTCTAGAAGCAACGCCCACACGGCATGCAGGCGTGGGTGGGAGGAGGAACTATTTTGCAGCACAGGCAGCAGCTTCTCCAGATGGGCGGCGCTGAAAAAATCTTCTGCCCGACCGGACTGCGGCAGCAGAGGGCAAAGCTCCAGCAGCGTGCGCAGAAATGTGTTTCCGCTGCCCGTCTCCGCCCCTGCTCCAGCAGCATATTTCCGCCCTTTGGCCCCCTTTTTCCCCGATTTTTTTCCTGCCCCTCTTTCTCCTTCCTCTCCTCCGTCCTCTCCTCCCTCCCCTCCCCCTACCCCTGCTTCCCCCAGCTGCCACAGCTTGAGCGCCAGGTGCAGGGCCTCGGGGGAAGAATCGGAGGGGTCTTGAGAGAGGAAAGCGGTAATGGGTGGCAGGGCGAGGATTCGCGGGAGGGAGGAGGCCGGAAGCTGCAGACACAAAAGGGAACGGGAAGGAGAAGGAATGAGAAGGAAGAAGGATCACAGCTTGAGCGCCAGGTGCAGGGCCTCGGAGGAAGACTCGGAGGGGTCTTGAGAGAGGAAGGCGGTAATGGGTGGCAGGGCGAGTATGCGTGGAAGGGAAGACGAGGGCAGCTGCACACATAGAGGAATCGGACGAGGAAGGGAGAGGGGAAAAAAGGGACCAGGTTAATCAAGACGACTCTTGTGGCGCCTGAAAAAAGGACCAAAATAATCAAGAGGTCACAGGGGATCCTGGAAACCTGGGCGTTCCCTGCCCTCTCTCCTCCCCTGCCTCCCCAAGCTGCCATAGCTTGAGCGCGGGGTGTAGAGCTTCGGGGGAGGAGTGGGCGGGGTCCTGAGAGAGGAAGGCGGAAATGGGTGGCAGGGCGAGGATGCGTGGGACGGAGGAGGGGGGGAGCTGCGCACACAGAGGGGAAAAGGTGAGGGGAAGGGAAGGGGTTGGGAAGGGGATGGGAAGGGGATGGGAAGGGGGGGGAGTAGGTTAGGGGGAATGGGATGGGAAAATGGGCAGCAGGCTCCGGGGAGAAACGACCGATGCTCTCCAACCCTCAAAACCTGAGATACCACGCTCCCCCGGTAACCGCCCTCTTGAGACAGCACAAACTCGACTCAATACAGTCACCTGTGATACAAGAGCCACCAGCAGCACAGTAGCAGGCTCAGAAAACCCGCCTACCTACCCTGGGAGGACACAGTTCTCAATACAATCACTTCTAGTACAGTCACGCTGAATATAATCACCAGCTCGTATAGTCACCTGCTCGTTAAAGACACCTGGTCGTTTAGTAAGTTATCATAGATAACTGATGTATCGATTATCTCTTCACCTGTGCTCATTGTAGTCACCTGCTCGCTACAGTCACCTGCTCGTTACAATCACCCTCTCGTTACAGTCACTCTCTCGTTACAGTCACTTTCTCGTTACAGTCACTTTCTCGTTACAGTCACCTTCTCGTTACAGTCACCTTCTCGTTACAGTCACCTTCTCGTTACAGTCACCTTCGTTAAGGTCACCTTTCCGTAAGTCACCTTTTTGTTACAGTCAACTTCTCGTTACAGTCACCTGCTCGTTACAGTCACCTGCTCGTTACAGTCACCTACTCGTTACAGTCACCTGCTCGTTACAATCACCTCCTCGTTACAGATACCTCCTCGTTACAGTCACCTGCTCGTTACAGTCACCTGCTCGTTACAGTTACCTCCTCGTTTAAGTCACCTGCTCGTTACACTCACCTGTTCGTTACAGTCACCTGCTCGTTGCAGTTACCTGCTCGTTACAGTTGTTACCTGCTCGTTAAAGTCACCTGTTCGTTACAGTCACCTGCTCGTTACAGTCACCCTCTCGTTCACAGCAGTTATAGGCACCTGCCCGTTAGTCACCTGCCCATTATAATCACTTGCCCGTTATAATCACTTGCCCGTTGTAAACCTACCCGTTATAAACACCTGCCCATTGTACTCACCTGCGAAATCAGTGCCACCAGCAGCACCGTTGCAGGCTCGGCAAGGAAAGACCGTTGCTCGCCGACCCTCAGGAGCTGAGATAAAACCTCCCCCGGTAACCACCCCCCCCTCCCCACCACCCACCCCGTCTCCCCCCCTCCTGCTGCCGCTGCTGCTGGCTTTTCGGTTGTGGAGGAAAGGGAGGAAGCGGATGCAAGAAGGCCGCTCCGAATGAGAGAGCCGAGGGCAAACATGCGACCAAAGAGGGCTTCAGAGGCGTCCTGAGGGAAGGGGGTTTTGGGGAAGAAGGGGAGGGGAGAGAATTTGAGGGGAGTGAGAGGGCTGCTGCTGATGAGAGCACCCACGGCGAACATGCGCCCAAAAAGGGCCTCAGAGGCGACCTGATGTGTTGGGGAGAGAAAGGGGAGACGAGAGAGGGAGACGGGAGAGAGGGGAGGTGGGAGGTGAGAAGGCTGCAAGGGGAGGCGAGCAGGCTGCTCCTGATGAGAGGTGAGCACGGAGGGCGAACATGCACCAAAAAAGGGGCTCAGAGGCGACCCGGGGGAGGAACCAGTGGGAGGGGGGGGGGGGGAGGGAGAGTTGGGAAAGCCGCTTAGGAGGCGAGCAAAGCGGTCCTGATAAGAGCACCGAGAGCAAACATGCGACCAAAGAGCGCTTCAGATGCGACCTGGGGGAGATCAGGGGTAGGGGGGAGAAAAGGGAGGAGCGGTTGGGAAGGGGAGGCATGCAGGCCGCTCCTGATGGGAGCACCGAGAGCAGAGACAGACAGGAGTGCTGGTCTCATAGACTCTTGTATGTACTCCATCCATCTCCATTCACGTGTTGCTCAGCATAAAAACGCTTACGGCATTAGAATCCTTCCCTCAAAGGAACAAGCAGGTACTTTTTCGGCGCCTCTTCATGGTTCTCCCATTATCATGTTTGTGTGTGTGAGTGTAGTTTTTAATAACTAATTGATTAAATCATTCATCGGAGATTTTAGACGCTTCGTCGTTAAAAAAAACAAAAAACAAACCGACCAATAAAGGAACAACGTCAAATACTGTTTCACCTTCCCCCCCGCCCTCCCCCAATTTTTTTTTACCTGGCGTAATGCTAAACTTATCTGAAAAATAAAAGATTCATACACCTTGCATACGCGTTAACAACATAACCCTGAGTGCACCTTTCCCCAGGCGTTATTGGGGAGAGGGATGAGCAACGGAATCGCGGCAGCAATAGCAGGCAGGTTTGGTATTAAGTCGACTCAACCGTAACAACCAGCGACAAAGGCTCACCTTTCCCCGGGTGTTGTTGGGGAGAGGAATGAGCAACGGAATAGCAGCCGCAATGGCCGGCAGGTGTGAGTGCAGAGAGGGCAGCGCGCGGAGGCAGGCGGCGAGGGCCACGGAGTAACCTTGCCTTGCGCCCTGGTGGGGGCGAGTGGGGGAGGAGAGGGGGAGGACGGGGGCAGGGGCAGGGGCAGGGGCAGGGAAGGAGATCAGAGTGGTATAAGCGAAAGCGGCGCGCGGAGGCAGGCAGCGAGAGCAACCGAGTAGACCTGCCTTGCGCTCTGGTGGGGGGAGGGGGAAGAAGGCGGGGGCCAGGGGTGGAGAGGGGTGGAGAGGGGAAAGACATCGGGATAGTTTAATAGCAGCAGCGATCGCGGGCGGGTGAGGGCGCAGAGAGGACAGCAGCGCGCAGAGGCAAGCGTCAAGGGCCACGGGGCGACTCTGCGGAACGAATGCGCGGAACGACTGCGCGGAACGACCCCGCGGAACGATTTACAGTTAATGTCTCGAGCCAACTCAAGTCGACTCATAAGCTTACCCCGCGGGACGACTCAAGGCCTCTGATCAACCTCTTCACGGCGTACGTAATCTCGTCGCAACACCCCTCCAGCTTTAAAACACCCTTCGTCTCTTCGCCCTCCTCCTCTTCTTCCATTTCATCCTCTTCATCCTCCTCCTCTTCGTCCTCTTCCCCACTCTCCTCTTCGTCCTCTGTCTCCTCGTCACTCGCCCCCTCTTCCTCCTCACTCTCGTTTCCCTCCTCTTCCGAACTCTCATCCTCTGAACCCTTCTTAAGCCCTGAGCCCTCTGTCGTCCCATTTCCGCTGGAGTTTTTCACATTTCCCCCGTCCTTCTTCCCAGCACCCTTCTTCCCCCCTCCTTGCGCGCGGAGGTACGCCTTTTGCGCCGTCGTCAACTCCGAAACCAGTGCTACCGCCGCCGTTTCTCGCGGCCCGCGTCTCACGGAGGCCAAATGCCAGTAGATCTGCAGCCCCGCCGGCTTCGCCTTCCGCCGCTTCTTCGAAGCTTCCCGGACGGCTTTCGCGGGCGGCGCTCCCTGCTGCTGCTTCGACGGCACAAGAAGATCTTGCGCCTCCGCGCCGAGATTCGCGGCGGCTACTGCGAAGGAGATCGCGCGGCGGCGGCGGTCGCGGGCGTTGCGCTTCTCGCGCTTCGCCTTTTTGCGGGTCTCGATCTTGTTGAGGCGGCTCGTCGACGCCTTGTGCTTCGCCATGGCGACTGGCTGATGGCGACGATGCGACGACGACGATTCTAATAACTACGGAAACAAGGATCAGACAAGGAAACAAATAAAGGGCGACCCGCAATGAAGGGGCGAAGAAGGGTTTTGGTAGGCGAAGAAAAGGATTTGATGGTGGTGGCACCAGTGGTGCAGTGGTGGTGCGTGGGTGTGTGCTTGGCTTATAAGAGCGTGCTAGCTACCCCATATTTTGGTGGCAGGGCCCGGTTGCCTGTAAAAGTGGACCGAACCTGACTGGTCGGGTCGACCAGTGGGCGGTTGGGTCCCTCCCAGCAGGCAAACCTGCATTTGTACCACCCGCTTGTTTTCGGGAGCCACCATGCAAATAGTATTTGGGGCAGACCCAGCACTCATTCCGCCAATGTTCTGCATTCAATTCTTGATCTTTGCTTTCTTCCACCAATCGTATCGACATTTGATTGTGTGACCTGCCCAAAAAAGGTTTTCTGTATCACTGGTTGCGCTGCATGTTGGTACGTTCGAGGCTGGTTGCCTCGACTCGATTGTACGTGGGCGCGACCAACTGGTCGCTTATCCACCTGGTTGCCTCGACCATGTGTGCGAAGCTCTGGTACACACGTACAATGCTGTAGACTGTCCAGACCCTGGTAATCTGGTAACCCTACTGGTCAACCCAGCCCGACCGTTTGAGGCAACCCGACCAGTCCCCAAAAAGAGGGGTACGTAGCAAGCTCTAAGTGGGTGTCTCAGATGTCTGAGTCCACGTGGGTACGGCTCAGACCTGACGGACCAGCTCAAGAACCAGCGCATGAACCAGGGCGGACCGGGACCAGGATGTGGGGCTTGTAACCCCGTAATACCGCTCGAATGGCACTAAAACGGTGCCATTTATTTGGTCCTCCAGACCAGTCCGCGCCTGGTCCGTAAACAAAGGATGGGGAAACATTTGTTTTGGCGAAATTTCTTTTTTTTTTTTTTTGGTAGGTGAAATAGCATTATACAACGTACAATGCAAAACACCGTCGGTCGTAACCGGAGCTAGAGGGCATAGGTAGCGTTAGTGTCTACCGTACCCTCCCAGATTCCTATGGAGTCTTAAAAGTCAAATGCCTAAAAACTTTGTCTTGCCCGTTTGGGGCTTTCTTTGCAGAGTTGCCACATTTCAGATCTGGTAACCTGTGGACACTTCTTTGCCGCGTGGTTTTCTTCAGCCTTGATTGAGTCGCCACCACTAAGTGGTTGAGTGAGGTGGTTTCAGCAACCCGTGTTTTGACGTTGAAGCGGTAGAAAGTGGTAATAATAGCAGGTCTTTCCCGGCGAGCTTGCCACAAGAGAATTGCACGAAATCTTTTGGGCGTTTTCCGACGCCTATGAGGACCAGCTTCTACTGTCCTGGCTCTAGAGAGCACAGCAACTTTAGGAAAATCTTGCATCAATCCATGTCGTCCAGCAGTAATAAAACTCCCGTCAGCATTATCCACTAGTTGCAGATGCACTTCCTGTAACTTCCAGCCTTTCTCATGTCGAAATTTATATGTCGTTTCGTCGTCCACAGCCTTAGAAAATAAGTACTCGTCGTTGAACAGGTGAGCCAAGGAAAAATCTTCCAGGTTGAACGTTTCCAGCGGAAAAACCTCTTCGCCTCCAAACACTTCAGCAGTCGTTAACGTAGTTATTTCGGACGCTTTGAGAGTCGAACGTCGTTGCTCTGGTTCCTTGAAGAAATACTTCTCACATTCTCCAGAGCATGAAACTTCTTCTCCATGCCATCCTGGGTGATGACTTGAAATAGTAGATCCAGCCATGCCTTTACGTAGTGAAACCACCCGATTAATGTCTGACGCTTTATTCCGACTTTTCTTCCTCTTCACTGGTTGTTGATATATGGCAGCAAAAACTGATAATCTGAAAATATTACGTGGTCCACCTTCCTTGTACTTGCAGATTTTTACTTCTGGTGAAAATGCCTTGATTCTCAGGTCCCATTTTAGGTGACGATTTGAAATGAACTCGACCATTGAAGCTTCGTTGGAATAACTCAATGTCTTGAGCTTAAGATCAGCTTTATAACCTGAAAGTACAGATCTTCTTAAGCGACGTTAAGACTAACCGATGTTCACTGTTTGAACACAATGTTGGTGTCATTAACAAGCCCTTGAAGAGTAGATCCAGAAAATAGATTCAGATTGCTGAACTGGTTGAGGTAAGCTGGACATTTGCTGAATCAAAGTTCTCCTGAGGAGCCATGGCGGAGAGCTATTTGAAATTTCTTGTTTTGTAAGTGTCGCGCGAGATTTTTGTGCAGACGAAGAAAATACTGTGCAGCCCGAAGCACGACGCATCAGGCAGACCAGTCCGTGTCTGGTCCAGCGCTGGTCCGCCAAGTGGGTCCGTCGGACCAGAACCCCGGACCAGGCCTATAGATTCTGGTCACGGACCAGATCCAGCGGACGCTCCACATGAGACACGTCCTAAGAAGCCCCCGTAGCGAGGGATTTAGGGCCTGGTAGATCGTTTCAGTAATATGAGATGCGATCGAATGCGGTACGAGATTGCTAGTGATGACTGAAAACAAAGATTTCGGACAGCGTGTGGCATCTGATTCTTTAGAATGAGCCTAATATTACTCATGCAAATCCTAGGGGCTTTGATTACACAAAACAGTTTCCATGTGGAGAAACCAGCCTAAATTGATGTGCCAAATAAGTCGCAAATAACTGGTAAAAAAAAAACCTTAATTTGTGAAGACGGTAGTTCTTCACACCCCAGAACCCTACATGTGCAAGCTAAACGCCTGAAATATCTGAAGTTGATTGATTAATCTACTTTCCAAATAACCACTTTCTCTTGTATTGTCCACCGGCTTTTGTGTTGATCATGACCAAAACCTGACGGATACAGAGAGGGAATGCACATGGAGGGGTGCAAACGCAGATAACAAACATGAGAACGTAAAGAGCTGGAAAATAAACACACAGTGAAACCAGCATAAATACATTGTACTGTAGCACACTTTGCTTGCATGTATGTGCTTGTCCAAAGAGGAGACAGGGAATGGCAAAATGAGAGCAGCAAGCGGTCAGAAGAGTAAAAGAAGGGGTTGTATGGCATGGGTCAGGAAAGCTCTCCACCCTCATCGGACCTCACGCCCATCACCATCACCATCACCATCACCATGACCATCACCATGACCATCATCACCATAACTACACAATCTTACCTTCTCTTATTTTTATCTGTCAGAATGAGGATGTGTACGACATTACCCTCTTTCAAATAATAATGAACTAATTTTTGCAGCCAGCAAGCGCCTGAAAGGGGAGCAATCCTCCGGACCTCCTCCAACCTAGCAGCACAGCACATGCTGACCACCCTGCGGTAAGCTGGGGATCTCACCCTGCAGCCAGCAAGCCCCTGAGAGGAATGCAGCGATTCCTCCCGCTTGTCAAATCTCCGCACCCCTTCCAACCCAGCATCACCCTGCTGATCTCGCATAAAGAACATGAGCAGGAAACCTCACCTTGCAGCCAGCAAGCTCCTGAGAGGAGGGCAGCGACTCTTCCCGCACGCCAATCCACTTGTCAACCCTCCGCACCCCTCCCAACCCCTCCACAGCCGCACCCACGCACGCCTTCCCTCCCCTCCAAAACACCGCGTTCAGAAAATCGATAAGCAGCAGCCGGCGTACAGTAATGTTTGTTACAGGCTTGATGCTTATATCAAAGAAGCATGAGGAGGGGCTCCAAGAGAGTGTGACTATAGCGGAGAGGAGCGAACCAATGAGACAGGAGGAGGGGTCGGATTGGAATGCGTCCTCAGTTGGAGGTGTAGATGTTGTGGTGCTTGTAGCGTGCGATATGCCCTTGCTTATAAGGCGTACAAGGGAATTGGAACGAGAGGGAGGGACAATCTGAGAGTGGGGAGTAGAAAAAGGAGAAACACATATGGGAGGGAAGTTACACTTCTGGTTAATGTTAATGCCCTTACAGGAGGGAGACACAACCAGGAGCAGAGGAAGGAAAAAAAAAAGTACTCGCAGGTCCGAAGGCATATATTTGTGATCTTAATCATTTATGTATCTTCTGCTAAATCGAATCTGCACTTCATATAACTATTGAGAAGTCGAGCACGAGGGCAATAGCATGTGGGCTGATTGCAGAAGGGAAAGAATGCTGGCAGGATGGAGAGGTGGTGCACTTACAAAGACAAGAGATGCGATTGTGTGATGTTTTGATTTTTCAGTTTTCATCACTAAAATGTCCTATTGGCACCTCTTTCACACGTTGTACACGTTATGAACCCTAGTCTCAGGCATCCTCGTTAGAGGCAATTCTCACCTGTTCCAGCAGCACTGAACACTTCTCGTGCACACCAGCCAGAATATCCGCCCTTGAAACCCGTCCCGTTTTAAGCAGCATCTCTAGCTGTTTTATAGCCTTCTCACACTGTTCCCCACTCCCTCCGCTAAAACCACTTCCACTGCTGCTGCTGCCACTGACAGTTACGGTGCCACGTGTCAGCCCCTGAATGGCTGATCTGACAGCCATAAGACCAGTAGGAGCAGCATCAGGGTAAACAGCAACCATGGGAATACCCCTCCCATGTCCCCCTACTGCCGCTCCCCACACTCCCACTCCCCCTCCCCCCATTCCCCCTGCGCCCATCCCCCCTGCCCCCATTCCCCCTCCCGCTCCCCCTCCCCCTGACCTTCTGAACGGCAGGGGGGCAGCGGGCATGGCGCCAGGCATGGGGGGAACGAGCTGGATGGGGGGAGGGGCGGAGGGGGCAAGGGCTAGGGCTAGGCGGCTGGGAGGGTATTCCTCTGCTTGCGGTGCTGCTGCTGCTGCTGTCACTGATGGCGGTGGTGGGATGTACGATACAAGGGCCTGTAGAAAAGGCATTGGGTGGGGAAAAGAGAAGGAATGGGGAGAAAGGGTAGTTGTTTCAGAAAAAAAAAATCATCCGCCGCTGCTGCTGCTGCCACTGATGGTGGTGGTGGAATGTAGGATACGAGGGCCTGTACAGTAGGCATTATGTGGGAAGAAGAGAAGGAATACAGGGACGGGGAAGTGGTTGTGTTTTAGAAAAATACCAAGAGGAGTTTGTGAATTTGTTATTCTTGGGTGGTAGGTAATAAATGAGATTTTATTGTAGGAATACACATTCTATCCAAAAGTAATGGTAGGAGTAATCTACCTTCCCTTACGTTAAATACGTGTAGTGAGATTTCCTTTTATCTTCAAACGGCCTTGAATGTGTCATATCAGATTCAGAGGTAGAATAAAACAGCTCACCTGACTGTAGTGAGACACGTTCGGCCTTTCAAACGGATTAGCAGGCATCGCTTTCATTGGCCCCACTCCCCCATTCCCGCCCATTCCGCCCGCCCTTCCTCCGCCCGCTCCCCCGCTCCGCGCGCCCTCTACTCCACCCACGCTCCCCGCAACAGATGCCGCGGGCACAAGAGAAATGCTCGAAGCGGATTGGACAACAGGAAGCGGCATGGACCCGACGCGGCTGACCTGCGGCCCCACCACTTGCACCGCACCAAATGGCGCCGGTTGCGGCGCCGGTTGCGGCGAGAAGTGCGGAGCGGCAAACGCGGCTTTGTACAAGTTTGGAACCCTCGGTTCTGGCCGAACGGATGGCTGCAATGAGCTGGTGAGGATGTATGGTCGCGATGAGGGCTGCTGCGAGAAGGAACTAGAGCGAGTGTCCCCGCTAAGAGCTAACCCGCTAAACGCGCTAGTCGCCGCGCTATTGACGGGCTGGGAAGACGCGTGGAGCGACTGCGATCGCTGGACGCGCGGAGCGACATCTCGAGAAATGTGTGCGGCTGAGGCGGAGGCGGAGGCTGAGGCGGAGACGGAAGCAGAGGCGGAAATCGGGGGGGGATTGACCCGCTGCTGCGCTTGGGCGCGTGCATCTGCAGTTGCGATCTCCTCTTGATCGACGGTCAGGATCTCATGCGGAGGCGGCGCGGGTATCACATCTTTGGGGACATCTAATGGGGCCGGCGGCGCGCGGTAGCAGGAGCTTACCGCCGAGCTCACCACCGGGTTCTTAACTACGTCCTTAGAGGCATCGACAGTGGGAGGCGGTTTTTTAGTCGACTCAAAATTCGGCGGCGCGCGGTAGCAGGAGCTTACCGCCGGGTGGAAAGCGGCTGGCGGTACGAGCGGGTTCTTAATTACGTCCTTAGAGACGTCGAGCGTGGAAGGCGGCGGGCGGTACGCGGCACGAGACGCGGACGCTTGTAGATGATTGGCTGCCGCCACATGCGGAACCGCGTTTTCAGGAACGCTGGAAGAGTGAGGAGGAGCAGGAGCAGCTAAAGGAGCGGAAGGAGTTGAAGCAGCGGGAGGAGCAGGAATAGCCGCAACAGGGATAACACGAGCAGCAGTGGCAGTAACGGGAGGGGCACGTGTGGCGCCAGGACCAGTGCCAGCATTAGCAGTAGCAGTAGGAGCGGAAGGAGCAGGAAGAGCTGCAACAGGAGCAGCACGAGCAGCAGTAGCGGTAACGGTAGGAAGAGCGCCGGTAAGCGCGCTAGCGCCTGCGCCAAGCGCGCCGGGCGCGCGAAGGCCGTAAGTGAGCGCGATGCCGTTGGGCGCGTTGCGCAGCGCATCGCGCTCCTGCGCAAGCTCTTGCACCTGATTGGTCAGCTGTACCACGTGGTTGATCAGCTCCGCGCGCGTCAACGAGTCGCCGCGACCCGCTTCGAGCGCCTGCGAGTGTGCGCACGTGAAAGAGGGAGCGGTGAATAGGCGGAAAAAGGGGAAGGGGGAAAGAAAAACCGGGGGAAGAGAGCGGAAAGGTTGAGCAACAAGGTGAAGTTATGTGCGAAAGCAACGCTCAACACGAGTGTTTGCGAGTCTGCATGGGAAAGAGAGGGGCAGGGGGAAGTGGGGGTTAAGCTGGGAGAAGCTAAATCCAGGCCTCGGTAAATTTTCTCTAACTTCTCCAATTGCACCTTGCTTGCTCCGCTGCCTCTCGCCCGCTTCGTACTCGTCACAAGCCCCTTGCCGGTCTGCGTTCAGAAAGCCGGCTCCATGTTCCTCTACCCTAGCTCGCCTGTTATTACTCGATTAAGTCAAACCCTGACCTGCGTGTATGCGAATATCTGCCGTCGCATGTCCGCCGTCTCCCTTTCGCGCTCTCGAAGCATCGCTTCTAGACCCGCCACTCGCCCCGTCATCTCGCAGTTCTCCATCTCAACGGCTGCCAGCTTCCGTTCTAGCGCCTCTTCCTCCAAAGACGATCTCCGCCGTCCGTTTATGCTCCCATCTTCACCGTTCATTTCTCCCCCTTCTTCCCCCACTTCTGGCTCGCACGGGATTGGGTAACCCTCTGTCCCATGCCCGGAGCCGTCATGTGCGGTGGGTGGAACGGAGAAATGCGCGTCGACCCATTGGCCTACTTTCGACGCAGCTCGCGCGCGGTCCTCCGCAAGCGCGCGCTCTTCCGCAAACTGTTCCGCCGAGGTATCCGCGTGGGGTTCGAAATACGCGCGCGAGGGGTGGAAATGCTGCGGGTGGGTGGCTGTAACCGGCGTAATTGCCGCGGGGGGAGGAATCCACGCGCGATACGCGTGTGGCGAGTGCACGACTACGCCTGCAGTGGGCGGCATGACTACAGATTTGACGCACTATCAGACTACACTCTGGATGCGTTTGGCCGGAACGCAGAATTGGCGAGGAATCAGGTGTGCAGTCCTAACTAGGTAGTGCCAGCGGAAGTAGTCGCTGCAATCATTGATGAACAACGTCAAGCTTCTAGGGTTAGCGACTAACGGGATGCCGACTGCTCTCACGCCTCATTCAGGCCAGTTGATAAGTCTAAAAAAATCCTTGGTGTCTGCCTGTTGCCCCTCAAAATCATCCTTGGTTATGCGGCTGAGGACATGTGAAGGGGAAGGCAAGCACAAGTCAAAACCGCCCCTGGAAAAAAAATGTCAAGACTCGAATCACCGATGCGCCCCATGTGCATCTCTGTGGGATGCTTGCGCCAAGCCGCCTTTTTGGGGTGATGGACCAGGGCAGCTCAGTTGGCACATGGAACTCTACCCGTGTTCGTCGGTACGATGTGCGGCTGAGATTACACATGACGAGGTACGAGCCCCACGTTCTTTCAACACGCATGATTGGGGTCGCACGAAACCTCCGTCACCAATGGAACTAGTTTCGCTATTGATAGGTTTCGCGGTTTGGAGTTACAAGTTATTTTCCGATGACAGAAATCCTGTTCTAAATCCATAAATGCGATAATAAAAAAGGTGATGGTGTTTCAGAGTCCAATATCTACTCTGGGTGGAATATTAGGAGATGTTATTTGCAAACCGAATCAAAACAAGACAGTGTCACAACAAAAGAAGCCATATCTAAGCACAGTGCTCATTATGGGAACAGGGGAGGGGGCTAAACATCTAAGCACGACCAACTCTCTGAGGTGGACAAGAGCCCTTGTTAGCACCTGTGACGGGATGGCAGCAGATCCTCTTGTCATGTCACTGCTCATGGCGTCTATTTCAAGCACAGCAGAGGAGAAATGGTGCCTGAGTAACAATTCAGCACTTGGCACAAAAGCTGCAATTCACTGAGCAACTGGCATTTCCAGATGTCGGATCAGCTCCTTGGGCATGTTTCGTGCCGGAATGTTCTCCCTGTAGCCCGCTTGAAACACCGCAGGCGATCTGTAACCCTGTGACGCCATGTTGATCGGGTTACCATGCAGGTCGATCGCCACATGAGGGTTCCCTCCCGTCCACACTTTGACGCTCATCTTCCTCTCCGTTTCGAACAGCGACGCAATCATTTTCTTCATAGAGCGCACCGCACCTACCTTCCTCGTACCTGCTCCTCCTCCGCCGCTACCGCCGCCACCGCCGCTTCCGCTGCTGCTGCTACGCGAGCTGATTCCCTGATTGCTCCTGCTGCTGCTAGCGATGCCTGTGATGTTCCCTTGGCATAACGCCGCGACCTCTGCTTCATTGCAATCCACAGCACCTACACCAACTGCAAGGCCGCCAGCTCGAGATTGGTTACACTGTCGCGGAACTCTGTTCGTCGCTGTCTGTGCGCGAAATTCCTGCGAAAACGACCTGGCTTTCGCCAAGCTAGCAGGAAGTGGGGAAGTAGCCGCCGTGGTGAACGACGCAGGCTGCATATCTGCGACTGAATGCACTCGCGACGGCATGCGACTGCTGTAGTTGCTGCTATCGCCGTCGCACACGCTCAGAGCTGCTGAAGGCATTCGTCGCAGGGTCGTCGGATCCCTGTCGTTGCCGCAATCTGCGACGAAATAGCTGTTGCTGTCGTTACTCTGGAGCGAGACGTTGGACGGCTGTGATTGTAACCGGCGGTTGCTTGAAACGGGCTGGATGAGTTGGCCGACGGATGGGAGGTGTTCGTGTATCGCGAGGTGATTGAGAGCGGGGACGGAAACGGAGTGCTTCATACAGGCGGTTCGATTATTGCCGCCGCTCACTGTAGCGGGGATGGATGGCAGCGACTGATTTGACACGTAGCACACCTGATTCGGGTTAAGATCAATGCTTGTTCCATCTGAAGCGAGACTGTCGAGGGCAGGTACCGAAGCGGAGTGTTTCATCCCACCACGAAACCGCGACGTCCTTATAACGGGTACACCCGCAATCGAAACTTGCGAGGACTTGCGGCTGAACTTCGAAACCACCGGGGATAAAAGCCCAGAGGAATCATCGCGGCGCGGAGTCGAGGCGTTGGAGGAGGCGGAAACAGTAGGCGCATTGTGAAACTGCTCGGAGGTTTCGTCCACCTCCGGGATGGAAGATACGGAGATTAAGGCGGACGGCATGCCGTGAGTGAGGCAAATCTCTTCTATAGCGACTCCCGCCTGATCGAGAAGCTCGCACGAAGCTTCAAGCTCTAAAGATTGCGAGAGGCAGGAATGAGGAATGCAAGGGAAAGCGGGGGGGTGAGCAGCCACACGAGTCGGGGGGATTCGAAAAAGAGCAATAAGCGGGCGACAATGAAATAACATTCAGCTTACCAGTCCATTGGTTCTCGTGCGCGTGAGCGAGCGACTCTACGTACGCCGACACGTTGTCTTCGTACGAGTAACATATTTCGCCTTCGTCATCTTCTTCAAAGATAAGGGGATCGAACCCCCCCGGCGTCGCACATTGCTCTACGGCGGAGTCCGCGCTCCTGGGTGCAGGGCACCAGCTGGTGTAGCGCGTTGAGTGGAACTGGTTTTCTGCCATTGAAAGTTAATCGGTTGACGGAGGATGAAGGTGGTTGACAACGGTTGACGGAGTGGGCGCAGACGAGGGCTGCTCTCTGAAACGAATACCTTGGCAACGATTTCGTATTCTCCTGAGGCAAAAGCCGTCACGCGGATTCGATAGAAAATGTGCGTTTCTTGTGAGCGCCGTGCTGACACGCAGCTGAAATTGAGGAGGGAGAGACGAAGCGTGGTCGAGACGAATGAGAGGGAAGAAGCGTCGCGGCTTGCATGAGTCGGTTGCTCTCGAGTTCGCGTCGAATAGCTACGACGATGTGCAACTCAATTGGCAGCTAAGCTCAACGTCACGTTTGCGACAAGCTTCTGCCCTTGATTTATAGTGTCCATTGGCAAATGCTGCTCTGCTTAGATGGTCGCTAGAGTCTAGACTCTTGACTCCAACCCAGGCCAGGGAGGGCAAGGCTAAAACGTACAGTATTCCATTTTACACCTCACCCAAAGCTGGCCTCTCGCTGATCCGAGCTGGACAGGCATATGGCGGTACACTGTACAGGTGGCTGTGGTTCGGTCGGGACTCGGGGGACAGGACAGGACGGGATGTACCGCAAGAGAGGAAGGGGCGATGAGCCATAGGAGAAGTTCACCGAAGCGCGGTGCATTGCATTTCGTTTGAAGTTATTTCTGGCCAGGCAATGCAAGGGAAGGGGGCTCGATCGAGAGTGTGGGGGATGGAGAGAATGGAGGGAGAGGGGCAGATCATAAAAACAAGGGCATTTATTTTAGCGGTAACACTCATGGAGCTCGATCGTACGCGAGCTGAGCCACGCGTCCGAATTGTAACAGAGTTGTCTTCTCATCACCACCATGGTAAAAATCATGCCCAGATGGTCAGCATTATTGCCTCCATGATAATTAACAGTGCATCCGGAAATCGTGGCTGGTAACTTTTCGTTACAGCCAAACTGTACACCGCACAAGTCAGGTTTGACTCAGCAAAAACGAAACCGACTGTCCACGTATACACCCACAGAATGCGCATTCTGTTTAGTGAACGAACGCGTACAAACGCAAAACGCTACATGCACGTATACGAAATAATAAATAACCTCTATTATAGCACACATCTTACGGACACTCCGAAATAAAAAACAAATGTAGCCTCACCAATTAAAAATCAGATCTTTTATCTGCTCATACAATTTATATGATGCCTTGACAAATATATTCTTTAACTAGGTCTAGCTCGAATTTATAATATTCCCAAAACAGATTTTATAGGGTACAGTTATTTGTTGAAAATTTTATCACTAGGATTGATTTGCCGTTTGACATTGTGTGTGTGTTTTTTTGTGGTGTTTGTTTGATAGTTAATGTTTTTTGTTTGTTTGTTTGTTTTTTTAATACAGATTACGAGTTACCACATCGTGATTTTACTGTGCAGATTGTAAACCTCGCCACTATAAACAGAAATGCGCATTCCGTGGGGTACACGTGGACAGTCAGTATCGTTTCGCTGAGTCAAACCTGACTTGTACGGTGTACAGTTTGGTTGGAAAGCGAAGTTACCAGCCAGGATTTCCGGATGCACTGTTCATTACCATGGAGGCAATAATGCTGACCATCTGGGCATAATGGTTACCATGGTGGCGATGAGAAGACATCTCTGTTATGATTTGGACACGTGGCTCATCTCGCGTGCGATCAAGCTCCATGAGTGTTACCGATAAGATAAATGCCCTGAAAACAAACTGGAAGGAAAAATATCGCTTTGGTGAAGGAGTATATATTCTCGTGAAATTTCTGTGGTCCAGTTTCATTAGCGATGTGCGGTACGGACTGTACAAAGCGGAGGTGGGGGAGGAACTGCAGGACTTGGGCACACTCATTCTTTTTTTGGCTTTGTTTTTTAATATGCATTGTAATACAGTCACAAGCGAAACAGAACGCGAGCCTGCAAGCCTTCGGATTTGAGTTCCGATGCCATCATATTTTCTCAGGGACGGGCAGGAGCAGGGATGTTTGCATCTACACTGCAGAAACATTCCAGGAACCGCTTGCCATGTCAGCCTGTCGGCCTTCAGCTTGCATCACAGGCGAGGGGGGAAGAAGCAGCAGCAGCAGCAGCACAAGCAGCTAGCAAGTGGATTTGTCGATGGACTCGTCTGACCGAACTCAGCAAAATCAACTGTCGTACACGTTACGGCTTATGCAAGGGTCATTCCGAATTTGGACTTGTCCAAAGGCCAAATGGGCAATGCAGGGACTCCATAAAAAGGTGTCAAAGTACTGCACCAGCTCGACGTCGAGGAACGTCGGTGAATTTCGACCGTCGGATACGAAATTCCAACCGTCAGGATTCACCAACGTCTCTCGACGTCGAGTTTTTGCAGCACTTTGTACACGCCT